AAGTCCTTTTGTGCACCAGGGATACATCCTGGCTCCACTGTCTGAGGTCTCTTAGACTGCTCAGTCCTTCTGGCTGAGACCCATATTCAGGGGGGCCTGAGTCAGTCCCATGCTGGCTTCCCAGCTATCAGTCTAGTGGCCGTTAGCTCCTCCTTGTTCAGGTAAGCTGTCTCTATGTGTTTCAAAGAACATATTTTAACTTGTATAAAATATTCCTTTTTAATTTTTGCTTCTTTTATTTATATAATTCTTTTGTATTTGCTTCTTTTCATTTTCCTTTTGTATTATGGAATTTTAATGTGCTGTTCTGTTCATTTAGGATAATAAATACATTGTTTATCATTTCCCTTTTAACATGTGCACACATGTGGAGATTTTTCAGAGCACACCCTAAGTCTCAATGCATTGCCTTTTCACGGAGCTACTTTGTTATTGCTGTGTTTAACTTATTCCTAGCATCCTTTTATGATTCATTTTGTGTATTGATATTTACAAGTATGTAAGTGTTAAGACATTTTTAGGCTTTCAAGTCATCTCTTCGTTTTTTTACTGTCCAGTAAATCATCTGTGTCTATAATCTTACCACCCAGGAGAAAGAAAAGAGTACTTGAAGTGTATAACTGCGACAGTAGTTGGGATGTTATTTTGTATTTGTCTGTGTGTGTACATACATACATACATACATACATACCTTTAATAAACCTTCATTAAATCCCTCCTATCCTAAAGCAACTGTGAATTAAGACTTTCTTGTGGTCATTTGCTCTATCTTTAACTTAGCGAGATCATTGCTTATATGTATTTGACTCAACTTGAACTGCTAGTAATTTTTGTGTTGTCATTTTGTGTGTGTGTGTGTGTGTGCATGTGCATGTTTATGTAAATTCATATATAATATAAATGTATTGAATGCTTTTTTATTTTTGGACACTAACTTTATTTTTAAATTATGTGTTGGTGTTTGTGTGGAGATATGTTTACTTGAGTGTGTACATGAGTGTAGATGCCAATGAAGGCCAAAAGAAGGTGTTAGACCACCCCAGTCTGCTGATACAGATGGTTGTGAGCTGCCATGTGGGTACTGGAAACCAAACTTGGATACTCTGCAAGAAAATTGCTCTTAACTATTGAGCCACCTTTCCAGTCTCACATGTAATACAGCTTTTCATCTACCCTCCCCATCAACCTTGTGTGTGTCAGGGGGTAGTTGAAGAGGTAGAGAGCATACTGGTGGGAGGAGGATTTACTCATAGGTATTTGCTCACTTACCTATGACGTCTGTCATGTGTGAAATCTGTTTGACAGCAGGCTGGAAAGTCTGTGGTAGAAAGTAATGTTGCAGCCTTGAGGCAGAATTCCTTCACCCTCTGGGAAACATGGTTATTTGCTTTTAAGACATTGTAGCTGAGGTGATGAGGCATATTTCCATTCTTAAAGTTAATGTTCCTTACTTAAAACCCACTCATTGAAAAGTACCATTATGGCAATACCTAAAATACTGTCTGTTTAAATAGCCAGCCTGTCACAAATATCATCAAATATGTGATAGATTAAAAAAAAATCTATAGCTGAACTTTTGAAGTCCTAATGGAATGGAGAGTTTGGCAACTCAGTGGAGTTTAAAAGTGTTCCTAGAGTAGGTAGAGGTTTATGTATGGAAGGCTGCTATGCAGCATGTTTTCTTAACTTGAGTCATATAATGTGATGCTAGAGAGAAAAGTTACAGAAGTAACTGCTTAACTGAAAATTGTTAATGGTTTTAACATGTTGGTTTTTGCTTTTTATTTTATTTGGTCTTTCATGTGATTTCAAAGATTTAACATATAGGCTAACCCATGCTTTTACTCTTGAGTTACCTCTCCAGCCCCAGGAGTAATAGTGAACTCTTACTAATAATAATGTTCAAATATTAATTAGATTACTGGTGCTTACTGCAAATTCAGTTTCAATATTATATGTTCTTTGACATCTGGTGTAAATAACATATTTTAAAACAGTATTTTGCTCACATGGAGTTCGGTATATAGTAGGCATAATTTTTTTATAGTTGTATTAAGCATTGAAGAGTAGTTGAAATATGATAGCAGATATTTAGGATTTGGATTAATGATACTGAACTTTATTTATTTATGTATGTATGTGTGTGTGTTATATATGTGTGTTTCTGTGTGTATTGTATCTTACATTTAAATACATGGTGATTACTTTAGTATGTGAAAAACACTTGATTCCATAAACATGCTAGCCACAAATTTCTCTTCCTTCTATGCTCTTGAAGGTAAGATTCCCTAGCTGAACATGTCTTCTTTTGCATAGGGATTTCTTGGGCTCTATATCTGATGCTACTTGATCAGCAGATTCTGTTCACTGTAATTTTGTGCCGTTGTTCAAACAAGCCAATCACATCCTCTGTAGCAAAAATGAGGCACTTTTCTGTTATGAGTAAGGTTTTTTCCACCAGCCTGGTCCCAGAACCGCGCCATTCCCAAATAACATGCAGAGATGCTGTATTTCACATAAAGCTGTAGGCCAGTTACTAGTTTCCAGTGGCTAGCTCTGTCTTAAATATTAACCCATTTCTATTAATCTAAGTATTTCCACGTGGTCTTATCTTACCAGAGAGAGACCATGGCATTCTACCCTGTAGGTCCTCCACCTTGAATTTCCTCCCTACTACTTCCCTCTCCTCCTAGTCTCCTAGTCCCACATTCATTGCTTTCCTATTGGCCAATAGTGCTTTATTCATTAACCAATTAGAAAAACATATTTATAGAATTACATCTCCCATCACCTTTCACATCATACAGTCTTCTTCCTTGTTTCCTTTGCTCCTGAATGATTCCCCATGTGCTTAACATGGTTTTGTTTTCTTGTCAACAAAGTTGTGAGTAGCTGTGATTAATCAACTCTAGTCTCATCCATATACAATGATGAGTGTTGGATGATTGGCTAGTTTCATAGCCTCAGGTTGGGATATGGAGATGATTGAAACAGAATTCTTGCCGTTTCTCAGCTCCTATTCATGATGTCAGAGTAGAGAAAGATTCTGGAAGATTGAGTTGGGGGAAGAATAGAGGAGAGCAAGAAAAGAGATACCATAATAGAGGGAGCCATTATAGGTTTAAAGGGAAATCTGGCACTAGGGAAATATCCAGAGACCTACAAGGATGACCCCAGCTAACAATCTAAGCAATAGTGGAGAGGCTACCTTAAATGCCCTTCCCTGATAATGAGATTGATGACTACCTTATATGCCTTCATCCAGTAGCTAATGGAAGCAGAAGCAGACACCCACAGATAAACACTGAGCCAAACTCCTGTAATCCAGTTGCAGAGAGGGAGAAGTGATGAGCAAGGGGAGTCAAGCCCAGTCTGGAGAAACCCACAGAACAGCTGAACTGAACAAGGAGTTTTCCATGGACCCCAGTCTGATAACTGGGAAAACAGTATAGGACCAACTCAGACTCCTGAATGTGGGTCTCAGTTAGGAAGCTTGGGCAGTCTATGGGACCTCTGACAGTGGAACCAGGATGTATCCCTAGTGCACAAACAGACTTTAGGAGCCCATTCCCCAAGGAGGGATTCTCCCTTAGCCTAGAGACATGGGGGAGGACCTAGATCCTACCCTAAATGACTTGCCCGATTTTGATGATCCTTCATGGAAGGCCTCACCCCTCCCCTGGGGAATGGATGGGGGGATGGGATGGGGGGGGTCTTTGGGGAGCATGGGAGGATGGGAAGGAGAAGGTACTGGGATCAATATGTAAAATAAGAAAAATATACTTAATGAAAAAAATAAAAAGGAGTCTGATATCAGCTATTGGCATAAATGACTAGTGAAATATGCATCAATCCAGAAATGGTATTGGTTTTGCTTTTCCAATACTATTTTATTAGCATTTATGTTTTCCAAAAGCATGAAGAACATTTATTTATCTATCATTAGCTCCAGCTCAATTTCTCTGTAAATTATATCTTTTCCTCTCAGCTGTTAACTCAAGAAACATGACTTAGTAGTTTTTTATTCCCTCATTATATTCACCAAATAACATAATCACTGGAAACAACAGAAATGCAGTAAATATTTGGCATGTAATCCAAAACAGTAATTCGGAAATTACTCTTTCATCCAGAGCTTTTAGTTTTTCCTTAAATGGCATAAGATTTAAGTAAATGTCCTAAGTGTGAATTGTTCAATGTTGTTAAAATACAACCCCCTTCCATTTACTTCCAAAGGGAAGAAAGAAAGCTTTAGAATGTGGCCCATTTTCTCTTTATTCATTCTCCTTCCAAAGTGAATATTAGTTGCCTTAAGGCCTCTGAAGAAACCTTAGGGCAGCAGCTCACTTTGTATAGGAAGGAGAATTAGAATAGCAACATGGTGATCCAAACTTCTTCCTGTCTGTTGATTTTGGATGCTTGATGCACAATTTGAAATTCTTGCTGGAAGCTAGTGCTGCTTCAGGAGTTCCTTAGTTTTGTTCTTGTTTTATTTCTGAAGTTGAAGCTATATAATACCCCTATCCGAAGTACAGGGAAACATGCACGGAAGTGTATTAATAGATCACATATGAGTGCAAGTTATGTGTTAACCTGTACTGCCATACATTTCTTAATTCACTTAGCATAATGATCTCTGGTTCATCTGCATTGTTGCACATATAGCTGTAATCCATTCGTTTTCTATGACTGAATAGCATTCATGATGTGTATCCACATTTTATTTCTATTACTTTTGTTTTTATGCTTACTATTTAGACTTTTCTTGGAAGTTAAGTAATTCTTTTGTAAGAATGTCATGGACTATTTTTCTTACTCGGAAATTTAAGAAATTTTTAATGAAAAACCTAGTCTGACAAAGGATTTTTTCTGATTTCTAAATATATACTTTCTCAGAAGTATAATGCTAAGGTGGTCCTTGACAGTGTATTTGTTTCTGGTAAACCATCCAGTGATAGGCTGTGCTTCCCTCCATTGGTGAGAGACTTAAAGAAATACTAATGACAACAGAAGTCTTCTCTCTATCTCTTGGATTTATTTACAGGAAACAGATCCAAGCTATGCTCGGCCAATTCAGCGAGGCAGAGGCCTTGTTAATAAATGCTGGAGTGCAGCCAGGAACTATTGATGGAGTTCTTTTGGATCTGGGGTGCTCCTCCATGCAACTTGATGCTCCTGAGCGAGGTTTCTCCCTTCGGAAGGATGGCCCCTTGGACATGAGGATGGATGGAGACAGGTAAGTATTGAAAAAGCATTTCTTCTTGCCTCAAGAAAATCAATTCCTTAAAAACATTCAGAATTTAATTTCCTTGAAGACTGAAAAATTCCCAGTACACTCCCACGTCCAGCACTGTCCATACATAGTAAATCATCTGTTTGGTACTGATTATAGACTTAAGTATTTCTTTGGCTTTGCAGTTCTTAAAAAGAAAATATTTACCACCTTTACAGAATATAGTGAGGAAGTATTCAGATGGAGAAATCAACTTTTATGTGTTTTTCTTTCTACTGACAATATGGCTATTTAGTAGTTATTTGGAAAAATTTGATGCTAAAACAATAGCTTTATTTTTCTGCATGCCCAGCTATGTTTCTGTAAGAATCAAGAGGAGCTGTATTTCATTGATATTCTTTTATAATGCTCAAAAAAAAAAAAAAAAAAAAAAAAAAAAAAACCTGCCAGGACTCTGGTGGTCAACAATTCTGTTTTGTTCTGTTTTGCTTCTATCTCTTATGCAGTTATCCTAATTGTACCTTCTCCAAAACATCGGTAATGCATGGAACTGCATCTTACATCACTTCGTATCCATTCATCTGTACACAGAATTTCACCTGCAACTCCTCTTCATTCTTCAGCATGTAGAAATACTAGGCTTGTTTACCATTCTTCAATTCAAATAGACCTCAATATACTTAATAGCACTATGTTTCATTGTAGCAAAGAATAGGAAAATTTTCTTTTTCTTCGTTAATTAAAAGTTTAAGTTAGTACTGACAACTGGACCTACCAGTAGTACCGAGCCAGAATAACCTGTATACAAAGCTTACCCTTGCTTTTCATGTCATGCCATGAATATCCTGTGGTAAATACTCATATATAGTCTCTTAAATTGATAAATGATGTGATTGCTTAATTTTCATTATGATATGTTTGTTAGAATCTTATTATTTCTGAATCCTTTGCATTCTTCCCATTGCATTATTGACATTCATAGGCTGAAGAATATGATAAAATAAAATAATAAAATATTTAACAACTAGTGACTAAATGAAGGTCAAATATCCTCAACTTTAGAAATTAAGGTAGTTGTATATGCATAAAATGTTGAATGAAACTATACTCTTCCTGTGACTCGCTGTAGAAGATGCTTTCTGTAATACAATGAACAAAATTTCTAATTAACAATACCATGTTCTTAATGTAAAAGCTTCTTTGGCAAATTTTAATTTTCAAACCTACATCCATTAATTTCTCCTCAAGAATTTCAAAATAAGATTGTTCCTGAGAATTAAGCCCTTACGTCAATATCTTTTGTTTGATGTTATAATTGAAATAATATATGTTTAAAAGTTGAAGATCTTTCATATAGATAATATGAAATACTCTACATGAGGTTCTTGGAATGGGAAGTTGATTTACTTGAATGTGTGGAAAAATGAAAGGCATGCAAAGATGTGCACTGCAGATCCAAGTAGAAGGATGGGCCATGGGAAAAAAACACATGTGTATCGGCGCACGCAGTTGTTATCTGTCAGAACCCAGAAATTGATAGATCCCTATGCTAAAGATGCATACAGAGACATTTTAGCACTATAGTCTTAACTCTGTGCTGATCCTAATTTTAATAACCACTGCTTTTAGATTATATTATCTTCTCATGTATCAGAGAGGAATTCCAAACCTCAAGGGCTTGAAAGGCTCACTCTTTTAGCAGGTATAGTCTTCATTGGGAGATAATAAATTGGCACTCGAGTTTGGACTTTCTCTTATGATTTTAGTTGCAGTGTTCAGGGAAATCTTTGGAGTGACATGCTTAAATTTGAGTTTTCTTACAGGGAGAGTTCTTCCTGTCCAACATTTTAATGCCTATTTTAGTACAGATTTCTGGCCTGACAACCCCCAGAGTGGAAATTCCTTTTGTCTTCTAGCATTGTGGAAACTTCTACACAGCTATTTCATGACAATGTAACAGTAGAATAATATCATAATCATACCTGGTATCCATTGAATGGCACCTGATCAAAATGCTAGTTTAATTTTCTTGTTTAAAGTAGAAAGTTATGAACAACTAAATCCATCCATACTATCTTATAATTGGTTAGACTGTTATAATTGCCTAAATAGAGCTAAGAGTCTGAATTTGCCATCATTAACAAGGATTGTCCCATTGGGTAGTGGCTTAGGTAACTGAATTCATTGTTAGAAAAATCTAACAGGGATTTTGTCTTTTATGCTCAAAATGATGATTGGCAAATATATGAATTGAAAAGATCTGAAGGTCATGAACATATATTTCCCAGTCATTATAATGTCTATATTTACTGTTTCATGCAGGCCCCTCTCCCAACAATTCTGATAATTGAGATAAGCATTGCTATATTCATTTCTCAGATTAAAATTGAAAGTCTGCCACATTTAAAACTTTAGCCAGTATAGTAAGATTGCAATTATGTAGATCACTACAACCTTAAAAGAGAGAATCTTCATTTTGTAAGCCCAAAAAGCAACCCACTGGGATCAAAATTAGAGCTACCATATAAGACAGTCATTGGCTGTCTTGGGTGATCAAAAGAAAAGACTATCAGTTTGAGGGTGTGGGAGGAGCTGAAGAAAGGAAAGGTAGGGTAATATAATTATATTTCAATTAAAAATACATAAATAAATAAAAGTAAGCAAAACCAAAAAATAGAACCATCATACTTAGAACAGTATGTTTCCTACTCCCGAAAACAGAGAGAAATAAGAATTTCAAAGACAGACTGACAGACATGGAAAATGGAGTACAAAGATAAAAATTGCTCCTGTATGCTCAAGCACGTTAACAAGGTAATAATTTTCAAGGAGAGTTTTAGATGTTTTTTTCAACATCACTCTGGCTTAAGCCTCAGATCTTAATGCTCCCATATCTTTGGTACTCATAACTATTCACAGTATGAAACTAATAATACAACGTGTTTATGTGGGAGTAGTAACTGTACTACTAGCAGATGTTCCTAATAAGTCGAGTCATTGTTAGCTCATCAGTTAGAATGCTTTGACACACTTCTTTAAGTGGAAATAAACTAGAATGATCTGACAGTGATCGTTATTTTATGCTAGTATAATTTAGTCTATGTGGTCAGAACTTGGATATTCTTTTTATGCCCTGCTTGAAAGTAATATTTATGACTCATCACCCAGTACTGTTTATTTTAAAGCTTTAATCCATGATGAATTTTGCCGCTGATAACTAAGGTAATACCAAATATCCAAAACATACATGCTTAACATTTGATCTTTAGTTATTGTGAAGGAAAGCTGCCTAGTATCTCCTTGTGTAGACTTATTGTTTTTCCCCCTCTAAATTAGATTTCATTATTATCTTTTTATCTTTTGTTACATTTTCCTCCACTCCCTTTCATGTAGCCTTTCTAGTAGGATTTTTTGTTGTTGTCCCACATGTAGACTCTTTACTGGCATAGATTAGCTTACTCGCTAGCATTTAGGCTTGATCAGCTATCATCTCTCAGCATTGTGTCTTCTAATCTAAAGAAAAGAATAACTCAATTAATAACTTAAATTTTGAACAAGTTAAATCTAAACACTCTTCTATTACTTTATCTTATAAAGCTGCAAGATCAATATTAACTTTTTTATGCGTGAAAGTTAAAAGTTAACAAAATACTATAACTTCCATTACCTTGACTTCAATGAATGTTTCAGGTTCCTCCTGCCATGATGATTACTATTTAAAACAGAAACTCTCTTCATTTCTGTGATATTTCAGTCTGTTTGAGAATTTCTTCTAGACAATATGTTGTGAACGCCTTAGCTCATGTTCCCAGTACTCTGAGATATCCACTCTTGTCAATGAAAATGGTATCAGTAAACTGCTTGTCTCTTTTTTTTTGCACAGGTATCCTGACATGCCCACTGCTGCTGATGTTGTGAATGCTTTAGATCAGCAAGCACTTGCATCCATCCTAAGAGCATATGGAGAGGAGAAGCATGCCAAGAAAATTGCTTCTGCAATCATTCAAGCTCGCAGGGTTTACCCTATCTCGAGAACCCAGCAGCTTGCTAGCATTGTTGCAGGTACTCTCCTTAATTCTCTTTAATGTCTAAGAGTAAAAATCTAAATTAATATCTGATATATACATATTTGTGTGTATGTATGTATGTGTGTGTATGTATATATGGTGTGTGTGTGTGTGTGTGTGTGTGTGTGTGTGTGTGTGTGTGTGTTCCTTCTGTCTGGCTTCCAGAGGAATTCATTTGTGTGTGAAATCATTTAGAACAGCCTATTCAAATGTCAGGTTTGTTTTGTTTTGTTTTTTAAGCTTCCTCTCTCCAACAATTCTCATACTGCATACAATTTTTTAAAGTTATTTCCATAGGTGGTTGATTAATATAATAGAAAATTTATATGTGGTAACCAAGGTGAAAGATGGAATGACAAGGTTTAAAGGATGTCTTGATCCATCACAGTGGTTGATAAGCATCCTGTATGAGATTTGACATTACCTTTCATAGTTTCACATTTCCACATTTTAATATTTCAGGCAAAAAAAAATTGCATTGCCCAACTGCTAAAATAAAACTCAGTGACTCATACATCTCTTCTAAACAATCAGCTAACAAAGAGTATGTGATGTATAGGTTATTCCACTTTGTGGATGCTAACTAAATCAGCCTAAGGGATTTATTGAAACATTTCATCTTTCTGCTCTTCAGCAGCATAAACCTCTTGAACCGAATTCTAGCTACAAGGCACTTTTTTGTACCCTTTCCATTTGAAGCCAAAGTTGTTTGACAGCTACGTTTTGATGAAAGTTTCTCAAAGTAAAAATGCAGCTCTTGTGGTTATTTAACAGAATTACAGTGGTAAATTATTCATCTTGTTGGATCAACTAAAACACTATCATTTTTATAAACTAAAAATATATTAAGATTGTTTTCTGTTTATATTAAATTATGTAAGTAATAATAATAAGCATTTTGAAAGTATCCAGTATTGGCTAAAGCTACCATAATGCTGGATGGAGTTTAAGGAATAAAACTTAATTATAAATTCACTCAAATCATTAAACTTTCTTATAATAATTGTTTCTGGCAAAATTAACAATAATTAAATAAAATTATAATTTATTTAACATAGTAGAATATAAAGAATTGACTAAGTCTTTAATATTTTAAGATTCCTTTGTCAAGCGCTTTCCAACTTAATGCCTTTTATTGGAGTTGAAGCAGAATTCATGTGGGTTATGTAAACATGCAGTATTTTATTATCCCCCCATAAAAGTTTTAATTAGTATGTTAGCAAGTATAGAATCACCTATTTCTTATATACATTGCCCTTCTCATTCTTTACTCACCAGGCTACTCCACTTGTCCTTGCTGTCTTTAAGAGCACTGCATACCATTTTCTGTGAGAAACCATATTATTTATTCAGAATAACCCTGAATTTTGTCTGGTACTGAATGAGGGCTTGTAGCTAACAAGTACACTAGAGATTGTTCTGTTGAAACCTTTATCCAGTAACTTGTGATACCAATTCTAAAGAGGACCAATGATTTGCTCATGACAACAGCCATTAAGGACAGTTAGTACTCATTAAAATTTAGGAGACAGTGAAGTAGAGACATAATTGGGATATAGTTTTAGGAAATTAAGTTAGCTGTCATTTTGGGGAACCACTAATGGTGTGAGATAGAAATGATGTGACATATACCACAGGAACAATGTGACTTTTCCATGGAATATTATAATGTTAAGAATATAGTAGAGTCATGTTAACAATGAAGTAAAAGTGAGAATACTCACATATAGGCAAGGGAAATTTGTGAATGGAATTAGAACATTGAGTTCTCTGAGTCTGTTTTTATGTCTTTATTGTTAGTCAACAGAAGTACAACTTTATTGAAAGCAATAAGTTTTGAAAAAGAGAAGAGTGTGATATTTCAGAAAGAGAAAACTATGATCTACCCAAATTGAACCAAGAGATTAGAAAGCTTAATAGATCTATAGCAAGCAATGAGTCTGGAGATTTCCAACTAAAACAGCTCAAGTACAGGTGCATTCTATGCTGAATTCTATGAAACCTTTCAAGAACTAAGCAATTCTCCACAAAACTATCCACAAAATAGAAAGTAAAGAAATAACACCAACTTCATTTTATGAAGCCAGTGTTACCCTGAAATCAAAGCTGAATGAGGCCATAACAAGAACTGTAAAGAATTATAAGCACTCTCCCTTATCATGCATGCCACTTGTTTTTAAAATTGTTTTTATGTTTTTAGATTATAATATAATTATAAAACTTTCCTCACCCCAAATCCTCCCATATGTACAGGCAAGGAAAAACATTGTGATCTTTCTTGATCTATTTCAAATTCACAGCCCCTATTGTCATTAATTTTTGGCATGTCTCTGTGTGTGTATTTCTAAGTACATGACTACAACCTGCTCAATATGTGTAATGATGCTTGCATGCATGTTTTCAGGGATGACCATTTGATATTGGATAACAAGTTGGTATCTTCTTCCATTGGAGATGACTATTTTTCCTACACACAGTATTCCTTAGTTGTCTGTAGTATTTTGTGTAAGGCTGAGGCCTCCTGAGCTTTCCTCCTCCATGTTAGCATTTATGTTGTTTTCCTTTTTCAGATCATGTTTATGCAGTTGTGTTGGTAAGACTATAAGGATGTAATGCTTCTGTTATTACTAGGAGACACAATCTCACAGCCTTTTTTTCTACCTCTCGAAATCACTCCACCTCCTCCTTCACAAGGATCATTGAGCCTCATTTTGGGAGTTGTATTATAGATGCATCCATTAGGGCAGGGCTCCACAATTCTTCTTTTGATTAGTTGTGTTTTTCTATAATGGTCTTTATCTGTTGCAAAGAGAATTTTCCTTGATGATGGGTGAGGACAATAGTTTTCTGTAGGGATAAGGACAAATATTTAGAATGTATTTGGGGGTTATACTGGCTTAGTAAAGTAGTGGTTGTAGGTTCTCAGATCTAGGACTTCACTATCCCTGGTGAGATGGCTATGTTTCCAATGAAGAATTTGCAAGCCACTTTGTACTGTTAACATAAATTCTTGCATCAATCAAAAGAGCTCTGTGTTCATAGCATTTTCTACTGTCATTAGGTAATTAAATTAAATATTACATAATATGATGGTATATTGATTATGAAAGAAAAGACATATGCAATGAAGTAGGCTGTTCACAGGATTATTTCCTTGGCTGCACAGAAGCCTTTTAATTTTATGTATTCCAGTTTATCATTTCTTGACACTATTTCTGAGTCTTTTCAAAAAGTCAGTTCTTACCAGGACCAAATGGGCTTTATTTCAAGGATGTAAGGATTGTTCAACAAACATAAATCAATAAATATAATGCATCTTATGACTACACTCAGTGACTGAATCACACAAATATCTCAGTAGATTCAGAAAGGGTCTTTGATGACAACTAACACCCTCTATTGTTAAAATCCTTGAAGAAAATAATAATAGAAGAATATTCCTCAATATAATAAGAGTGTATATAACACATTTATAGTCAGTTATTTACTCAGTGGAGAAAAACTGCAAAAGTTTTCACTACAATGAGGAATAAGACAGGAGTGTCTTCTCATCCAATGTTGTCATTGAAATCATAACTAGAGTAATAATTCAAAAGAAGTAAATTAAAGACATAGAAATAGGAAATCGGAAAGGAAGAAGTAAATTATTCTTGAAGATGACACGATCCCATAAAACAATTGAAGATTCTACCAGAAAACTCTAAGCTGATTAAGAAATTAATTGCAAACAATATTAACATATAAATTAATAGCTTGCCTATGTCCTGATAGCAAATCATCTGAGGAGGAAGTGAGGAAAATGAGCACTTTGATAATAACTGCAAAAAAAAAAAAAAAAAAAAAAAAAAAGCAAGAAAAGGAAATAAACTAGGGTTGGGGAGACAGATGAGCATGAGCTGCTAAAGTGCTTCCTGCCAGCATGAGGTCATGTTTGATCCCAGAATGCATTTAAAGATGATGGACTTGGTGGCATATGTGTGTTATCCCAGTCCTGGGAAGGCAGAGTCTGGTGGAACAGTGATCAACCAGCGGGGTGGGGGTGCTGTAAGATGGCTCCATAATTTAGGGTACTGATTCCTCTTGCAGAGGACTCAGGTTTATTTCCCATCCCCCACTTAGACAGACTTACAGAGACCCAAAAATAGACATACAAATACAAAATAAATTCTTTTTTAAATGTAACAGGTATACAGCACCTGGAGTTGACATCTGGCATCTCTCACTCATGAACTGGCAAAATTAATACTGTGAAAATTGCTGTTTTTCTAAAAGTCATATTATGTTGCTAATTCATACATGTAGAAGAGTGGAAAGTCCTAAGACTAACGGTACTGTAAAACTCACAAGATTCCAGAAACTTTTCAAACGTACCAGGCTTAGGGGGCTCAGAGAGTTAGAAGATTTCCAGGGCCCTCTCCCCAATTATAAAAAGCAGTGACTAACTATTGAACAGAAAAGATTCTACATGGAGATTCTTACAGTTAGTCAGATAGCTAGAGGTTTGCAGTTTTCATAAAGGATCACCAGCATTAGGTTTTATAATAATGATGTTGCCCTTGAAGGCTCCTGTAAGTAACTAATAAACTATTTCACTATGGCACAATAAATATAAGACCCAGAGACAGATATTAGGGTTCAAGCTTCAAGCTGAAGATCAGAAAAGCAAAGCATCTAGCCACTAGTTCTTGCCACTACCTCAACTCAGACCAAAGGGGTGATCCTTAAACTGATCCCCAGATTCATTCAGACTCCTGTGCTCTCTTCAGTGTGGCTAGAGAATAATTCTCAGACTGAATGTCAGCTCTGTGACCCCACTCCTATCTTATATAACTCCCTAATGCTGGGATTAAAGTTATGTGATCCCAAGTGCTGAGATCACTTTTGTGTGAGCTGTTTCTTTTAAGACTGGATCAATTTTGTGTAGCCAGTGTGGCTTTGAACTAACAGAGTTCAGTCTACCTTCTAATCCTGAGTCCTGGTATTAAATATAGGTAC